ATAGCAACTGCTTGACTCCTTTATTTAGTTTTTAGGTTTTTCCTACCTTTCAGTGTCCATGGCTATTCTTCCCAATTTTCTACTTTCCCGCTCTGTCTCTGTATTGACAATTGGAATAAAACCCATTACCTCAAGTTGGGAACAAGGAACATTTTGAAGGTCATGACATCCATGTGATTGTAGCACCTTTGAATGTAAGGGGACTAATGAACCTTTGTACTTCTCTTTCCTGACTTGAGTCCTGCACTGAGTAGATACCAGTCAGATTTATTTACGAGGAGGATGATCATCAGATTGCAAAACTCTTCATCAACTGTACTAAAGTGAGAACCTAACATAAAGACATTTATGACACTCACATAACTGAACTGTTTGAATCTGGTATTCTCTTTAAGAGGTGAGCTAGTGAGGAGATTGTTCATCATTAGCATTCACAGGATGTTTGGGGAAATTGGTAAATGTTTCTGAGAGGAGAACTTCCCACATTTCAAAGATAGGACCAAATGCTATAGCGATGTGAAAATAAAATCTATAGGAATCATATACCCACTACTCAAACAATCTTATAGAGCTGGCAAGAAGTGCCTACAAAACATATTAGATAGTAATCTGTCTTAAGAAGAAGCTTCTGGTCATAGAACCTGGGAGTCTAGAAGATGGAAAAGGATAAGGATTCATAAGGAAGTGGGATTAGAACAGTTTTACTTTGTCACTAGTCTCACTACACAGTCCATGCCTTATACTCATATCTTCAGCTCCTCCTTGCAGCTCCTCCTACAGCTTTTCATATCTACAGCTCCTAATGGACAACCTGGTACATAGTAGAAAGTTGTCATAAATATTGGACATAGGAAGGAAGGACAAGTTTGGGGCATAGGATGGGGTGAGGAAAATGATTAGTTTTTGCTGAACTCTTCATTAGATTTGCCTTAGTTGGACCTTTTGGTTACATGAATAAATTGTCTTTGGGTACTTCATCTGAGTGTAAAAGTTACTGAAATGATAGGCATGGGTGGCATACAGGATCACTGAAAGGCTGATGAATCAAGCTCAGCCGAGGATAGGCACCCTCCTGGAGGACTGGCACTGGGCAACGGCCCAGAGAACCAGCTCCTTGGGCTGGCTCCACTACTGGCACCACTGAACCAGGACTCCACTGGTCTCTGCCTCTGGTTCATAACACTCTTACTGCCTTTGTGAATAATTCCCAAATAACCCTTTGTATTTGCATGACCCCCTGAGATTTAGTGTTCCAGAGAGGTGCATCCCCTGGTGGAATAGTCCAGACCTCAGTCACATACAGATGTCCCAGCACACAGAAATGGTAGATAGGAAAACTACTGATAAATATAGGACACAAGTCTCTGACTTTCCTGGGGATTTACCCAAAGCTGATTCCCTCCCTAACCCTCACCCCATATAGGAAAAGTATTGAGATGCTGGTTAGCTAAAGATGACAACTATGCATAGGTGTTATTTTATTTTTGCTCATTGTTTTTTAAACATTTTAAAATCTTAAAAGCATTTTTATTGAGGTATCATTCATATACAATTCAGTGCATATATTTAAAATATACAAGTTCATGAGTTTCAGCAAATGTATATAGTTGTGAAACCATTGTCATCATCAGGAAAATGAACATTCTCATTATCTTCCAAAGTAGTCTATTCCTTCTCTCTACTCCTATCCTACAGAATTACTGCTCTACTTTTGTCACTTTGTTTTTTTTGGAATTTTATTTAAAAGTGAATCACATGTATGTACTCTATGTATACAGCTTTTTCCTCTTAACAAAATTATTTTGTGAATTCATCCATGTTTTTGCACATATGAATAGTTCGATCATTTTTTATTGGTGAATAGTATTTCATTACATGGATATACTTTAATTTTTTAATACATTTTCCTGTTGATCCAGATTTGAGTTGCTTCCAGAGAGTTTTGAGGTACCAACTGAACATCTCTAATCTGAAAATCGAAAATCTGAAGTGCTCCAAAATCTGAAATGTTTTCAGGACTGATGTGGTTCCAAAAAAAGACAATTCTACACCTGACCTCACATGATGGGTCACAGTGGAAATGCAGGCACACTAAAAATACTGTATAAAATTACCTGTGCATAAGGTGAATATGAAATATAAATGACTTCCATGTTTAGAAACTTGGATTTTTATCCCTAAAATATCTCATGTATACATAAATATTTCAGAATCCAAAAATACAAAACAATTCAGAGTCTAAGCATTATGGATAAAGGATAGTAAACCTGTATTACAAACAAAGCTGCTATGAACATTCATGTATAAATTTTTATATGGACACATACTCTCTTTAGCAAATATAAAGAAATAGAATGGCTGGGTAACATACCTTCCTTGGATAAGTATCTGTTCAAATCTTTTGCTCATTTTTAATTGGATTTTTTTCTTTTTATTGCTGAGTTGTAAGAGTTCATTGTATAGTCTAGATACATATCTCTGTCAAATATACAATGTGTTTTTTTTCCTCCAGTGCTTGGGCCAAAACCTTCTATCTTGCGTGTGCTTAGTGAGTGCTTTACTAGAGAGTTACACCCTTCTCCCAATATAATATGCATTTTACAAAATGAAATGTGGGCTAGCCATGTTGTTTAGTGGTAGGGTGCACACTTAGCATGCATGAGACCCTGAGTTTGATCTCCAGCACCATGCACACAAAAGTGAAATGCTACTGCTTTAGATAACTATACTTTGTTAATATAACACACAGTCTATCTGCATTTAAAATTATCCTTCTAATAAGAAGCATTATCTCCATAATCCTCAGCCACAAAATTTTCTTATGCCTAGTAAGATGGTTAGTCAGCTGATATATGAAAAATATGGAAAGGGTGTAAAAGTAGAAAACATACAGATTTTCTCAACATTTTTCTTCATCCTTCTTTAGTCTCTTAGCAAACTCCTAGTGTACTCCTACATGATAGGATCATGTAGATAATGGTTGATCATCCTCCCCTTTTCTTTTAAGCAAACTTTAAATAAGCAGAACATTATTATGAATACAACCTCTATACTTTATAAGAACTAAATTTATTTCTCTTAAACTAAGATCCTGCTGTTTACAGGACTATTAATCATCAGTCCCCAGTGTGGATTTCTATTCTCATTTCCTCGATTTTCTCCATTTCCTTTAGTTCTCCAAATGTGTTTTTCTTTTTCTTTTT